TTACTTTGCTTAAGTGCCTTTGGTGAGGCACCTTGTCAAAGGCTACTGAAAGTCCAAATACAATATATCCACTGTATCCTTGTCCATATGTTTGTTGACCTCAAAGAATTCTAATAGATTGGTGAGGCATGATTTCCCTTTACAAAAACTGTGTTGACTCTTCCCCCCAAAATTGTGTTCATCTCTGTGTCTGATCATTCTGTTCTTTACTATAGTTTCAACCAGTTTGCCTGGTACTGAAGTTAGGCTTACCGGCCTGTAATTGCCAGGATAGCCACTGGAGTATTTTTTAAAAATTGGTGTCACATTTAGCTATCATCCAGTCATCTCCCACATAAGCTGCTTTAAATGACATGTTACATAAATATGAAATTGCTGAAGTACTAAGTGTGTTGAGTTCCTTCAGAACTCCTCCTGGGTTAATGCCATCTGGTCCTGATGACTTATTAGTGTTCATCAACTTTTTCCAAAACCTCCTCTATAGACACTTCAGTCCAGGACAGTTCCTCAGATTTGTCACCTAAAAAGAATGGTCAGGTGTGGGCCCCTCCCTCAAAGGAAAGGTCTTCCACAGTATTTTGGTGCTCAGTGCAGGACAACTGCAATAGAAAAGGAACGAGCTGCAAAAGCAGCTGCATCTAAGGAAGCCTATAATGAAGTTCTTGCTATAAGAGCTAATCGTCAGCTATGATGGCCTAAAACTGTTCAGGATGTTACACAGGAAGGTGCTCAATAAAGCTGTTTAACTCAGTATAGTTGATGTTGTTATTCTTCACCATCAAATTTTAGTGGTCCATGAGCCTAAACTGCAGCGTCACGGATGAGTAAGTCTTACGGCCAAACAGGTTGAGGCATTTTTATTCCTGATCATATGGTGTTGGTTTAGTGTGGTATTGTCTGCCATGTTCATTGATGGCCTTGATAACCAAGGAGTTAGGTGAAGGGTGAGAAAATAAAAGTTCGGATTTTTTGGCTGAAATGTAATGCTTTTTTTTTTTGGAGCCTTTACATGTAGGTGGTACCGTTGCCAGGGTCTGCCAGATGGTCTTGGTGGGTTTTGGTAAAGCATCATTTACTGGGAAAGTCCCTCGAGGTGAGGCAGTCAAATGAAGAATGTCTAAAACTTATGCTTCAACTCTTGGACCTCCTTTAATGGTGTCTGTGGCAAATCAGCAATTTGTTTCATCAGCTCTTGATTTCTGTCAAGATTTTGTCAGCCAGAAAAGGTGGGCGAGGTATTATGGCCTCATTTGGAGAAAAGATATTATTTGTTTGTGGAGTGACTTTCTTGTTTGCTCTTGCCTCTTGCTCATCTCCTTCAGTTGAGCTTGTTGAGGAAGAAGAGATGGAGCAAGAGACCATCTCCCCCATGGTCACCACAAGAAAGACTTGGGGCTCTTGAAAACTGTTGTCAATAGGTGGCTCAAGGGTCCCAGCATGGCCACAGAGGGGATCCATAAGGCATAGGAGGTGGCAGCTAATGCTGCTTATACCAACAAGAAGGGTTGTCTCGTCTCTAGGTCCTCTCTTTCCATAATGGTGTCAGGGAGGTTGGTCCTATGTTGGCAGATAGGGGAACCTTGCACAGAAATTTGGGAATCGGAAGAGAGGGAATCTCAACATCATCTAGAGGAGGAGGTCTGCCTAGCTCGGGTAGTACTGGAGAAGCAGATGGTACTGTGGAAAGATCCAATCCCAGTGACCCTGTTGATCTCGGTACCAACAGGCATTTGACACCCATTAAGAGGGAGACTCCAGCTTGTCTGAGACAATCAAGTCTCGAATATTTAAACTTCTATGGTACCAGATGGATTTGCACAGAGAATGAGTGAGATTCATGATGGTGGAGCCTGCTTTGACAGATCCCGCCTGGTGGAAGTTGTCACTATAGAACAGATCAACTGCTTTGGAGGTAGCGAAGTATCGCGAGATGCCTGATTAGACTACGGCAGTACTGAAGGAGTCTGGGTTGCTTGTCTAGGTACCAAAAGTAGTACAGGAAGGTCTGTCAATACAGTCTTTCTGTAAGCAGAGCGTTTAGAGTCTCTGCTAGTATAGTTATGCTTAGGCGGTACCGAGGTATGCTTAGTATCATGGCTTTTTGAAGAGCTTGGAGTCTTAGAAGGGCTCCCAGTACCTTAGAAGCCTGGAACCTCAGCAGTACCCAGTCCAGGACATGAGATATCTGATGCGGTTGATTTCTGAGGAGACAGAGGCTTGTTTCAAATAGGGTCTTTATGAGGAGAACTAGAACTCCTCTTCTTAGGGGCTTTCCCAGTACCTTCTGATGTCTTTTGTCATGAAGGTCTGGGACAACGAGGTGTGGATGTTAATGGGGAACTACACTTGCTCATAAGAGATTGATGTATGGGGCCGGTATCTTAGCCTGGATCCAAGGTAGGGCAAAAGGAAGTGTTCCAACATAAGGAGCCTGAGCCTAATCTCCCTGTTTTTTTTCTAGCTGTGCTCTTAAAAGTTGAACAAATATTGCACTTTTGTGGGATGTCAATGTCCCACAGACAGAAAATGTACCAGGAATGCCCGCCACTGTCCAGGATAGATTCCCAGCAGGTGAGGCAGTGCTTGAATCCTGGAGATCCTGGAATATCCTGGTTACAATTTCCAAGTGGAAACTCGTCAGTAGGGAGGAGGGGAAGACAGGGGAGAAGGACTGGAAAAATAACCCTCAAATGAAGTAAAAAAATAATTAGGATATATTACTTAGAATAGAAATAAATAACTACACTAAACTAAACTAAAATCTAGAAGATGCTAAAGCTAAGCTTTGGACAACACTAGAAATGTGCTTGCTAGAAGCTCCATCTCAAGCCGAGGTGGCTAAAAAGGAATTGAGATTGGTTTGCTCGCACAACTCTATATACCCTCAGTATGGGGCATGATGTCTGCAACACATGTGTGGGCCAAACAAGTACTGGTACTGAAAAATCTCTGATCAAAGGCACATGGGGTGCACCTGAAGTGGAGGACCCACAGGGCCACTATCTGAAGAAAAAATTATGTTATTTTTAAATTTCCAGGGTCTTTTCCCATTTTTAAGGCAGACTTTAAAGCACTTTTAAAATACAGCTACAATGGATCTTGAAGGCTTCAGAAAATTCTCCTATGATGTCACCAATATTCAGACATGAATAAATTGATTTACTTACTTAACCTGAGAAAACGAGTACTATGCATCTAGGAGACTGGATTGTGCAGATAGTCTCAGGTATCAAAATAAAAATACAGTGACAGTGGACATATAAGAAGCTAATTAGATGGATAAACTTCTGTATACCCACCCAATGGAAGAATAACATGGTGCCTAGTCATCCCATCAGTTGTATCTTTACATGTGATGGAACAAATAGACCAGGGGGTGGGCAAACTTTTTGGGCCAAGGGCCACATTGGGATATGGAAATTGTATAGCGGGCCATGAATGCTCACAAAATTGGGGGTAGAGGTGCAGGAGGGGGATGAGGACTCCGGCTGGGGGTACGGGCTCTGGGGTAGAGCCAGAAATGAGGAGTTCAGGGAGTGGGAGGGGGCTCCAGGTTGGGGTACGGGGGCGAGGGTTTGGGGGGATGAGGGGTTTGGGGTACAGGAGGGGGCTCCAGGCTGAGACTGAGGGGTTCAGAGGGCAGTAGGGGGATCAGGGTTGGGATATGGGGAGGGATGTGAGGGCTCTGGCTGGGGTTGCAGACTTTGGGGTACAAGAGAGGGCTCTGTGCTGGGATCGAGGGGTTCAGAGGGCAGAAGGGATATCAGGGCTGTGATAGGGGATTGGATCATGGGGGGGGAGGCTCAGGGGTGCAGGCTCCAGGTGACACTTACCGCAAGCAGCTCCCTGAAGCATGTCCCCCTCTGGCTTTGAGGCGCAGCCAGGCGGCTCTGCGCGCCGCCCTGTCCACAGGCACCACCCCTACAGCTCCCTTTGGCCAGGAACTGTGACCAATGGGAGCTGCGGGGGTGGCGCCTGTGGACGAGGCGGTGCGCAAAGCCACCTGGCGACACCTCCGTGTTCTACAGAGGAGCTGGGGCGGGGAGGGTTTGAGCCGGAGGGGGGTCATGCTGGCTGCTTCCTGGGAGCTGTGCGGAGCAGGGGCAAGCCCCCGACCCCGCTCACTGGCTGGAGTGCCAGAGCAGGGCAAATCCCAACCCTGCTCACCGGCGGGAGCTGAGGGCCGGATTAAATGGTTTGATGGGCCGGATGTGGCCCGCGGGCCGTAGTTTGCCCACTCCTGAAATAGACCCCAGATGGGGGGAAGGATAGCTCAGTGGTTTGAGTATTAGCCTGCTAAACCCAGGGTTATGAGTTCAATCCTTGAGGGAGCCACTTAGGGAGCTAGGCCAAATCAGTACTTAGTCCTGCTAGTGAAAGCAGGGGGCTGGACTCAATGACCTTCCAGCTCTATGAGATAGGCATGTTTTAACCATTATTTTAACACTTGAGGATTTTGTATCTAGATTTGTAGTTCAAACCCAGATAGATACCCAGGCAGAGAAGGCTTAATTCAAGTCTAACTATACTCAGAGCATGTTGCAAGATCAACTTTTTTGGGAAAACATTCTTCCTGAAGAGTATTGTCTTTTTAGTCATGCTCTAGCATATACTGAGCAAATGAAGATGGATTTAGATAGCTTAGCAACTTCAGGAGGGAAGAAGACATCTAGGGACAGATTTTTAAAAGTATTTAGGCCCTGAGGTGGAATTGTCAAAAGCGCAGAGAACCTCAGGATTGTGACACTGACCCCTACTTACAATTTTTCCATCCACCACACAAAAGGGAATAGAACATCTGCTGATCCTTGTAAAGAGTTAAGCTGGTCTTCTTCACCTGCTTCTGGGTGAGAACAGGCTGTGCTTATAGGTATCTCTAAGGTTTTTCAAGTAAGAGAAGGGAAGGAAACCTGGAGTGGGGAACAGGAGTTCAAGGCCTTCCTCTCCATTTAACCTCTATTCCACCCCATTCACAAATCTAACTATACTTACTACAGTACCTTGTTATCACCACATGCGGTGCCATCTCCCACTGAGCCAACATCCACCGTGTCTCTCCCACTATTAAATTCTGTACCCCAACACAAGATATCATCAACTGGGGTTTGAACTATGGACCCAAGACTTTTCATCTGAGGTATTTTTTTAACATTAACACACTGCAGTCTTCCACACAAGACATCGCTGAAAGAAAAAAAATAAGAACAGTTGCTTAAAAATTTATACAAGATTTGAAGAACTCTGTGTGAGAGTTGTGGTATGTCTTACTATGGAAGAAGCAAAGTCTCTCCCATAAATCTTTTCCAACACCCATTCTCTGTGTGACTTGTTAATCCCAGTAATGTTCCAGCACAATTACTGATCATTCTGAACTGAATACAGCCATTCGTGGCAATCAGGAGCTCAATGTTGCAGCAGCAAGGTACAGAGGTGACAGCACAGCAATGTCAAAGGCTACTTCTGCAGTACTCCTAGCCTGATGCCTAGGAATAAGGAATTAAGTTTGTGTCCTGAATTTGGATCCTATACTGTAAGTCTACTGTTCTACCACCAGCCCTCCTACCCTCTGTAAAGTGCTCTGGTATGTATGGATGAAAACTGGTAGTTTTCTCATTTCTATTGGAGTTCTCACTGGCTCTGTCATGGTTGTCCTGTTTCAAATCTGAGGGATTAATTTAGTATGGTAGGAAACAATATAGTGCAGCGTGAAAAAGGCTAATATCATTCTGGGGTGTATTAACAAGAGAGTTATATTTAAGACATGGGATTAATTTTTCCACTTGACTTGGTGAAGCCTTGCCTAGAGTATGTGTCCAGTTTTGGGAGTCATACTTTAAAAAAAGATATTGACAAACTGAAGAGTCCCAAGGACAGCAATAAAAATGATAAAAGGTTTTTAAAAAGCTGACTTATGCGGATAGGTTAAAGTAACTGGGTATGTTTAGTGCTGAGAAGAGAAGAACAGCTCCCAACCAAGATACATACATTTGCAATAACTGCCAAAGATCATGGAAATCTCTGATTGACCTATTGAGTCACATGAGACATTGCAAACCATCTACATCATAGGCTGCAATTCCCACTGTCTCTCACAGACTAAAAGTTACCAACAAAATGAAAGAGAAGATTGGGGGTCGGGTAGGATGGGATGGGGTGGGAGCCCTGAAAGAAGTCTTCCAAAATGTTAAGGGCTGTTATAAATAGGACAGTGATCCACCTCTGAAGGTAGGACAAGAAGTAATGGGCTTACTCTGCAGCAAGGGAGATTACGGTTAGCTATTACAAAAAACATTCATACTATAAGGACAGTTAAGCACTGGAACAAGCTTCCAAGGAAGGTTGTAGATTCCCTGTCATTGAAGGCCTTTAATAACAAGTTACACAAACACCTTTCAGGGATGGTCTAGGTTTACTTGGCCCTGCATCAACATGAGTGTGTGGACTAGATGACCTCTCAAGGTCCATTCCAGCCCTACATTTCTATAATTCTATGTGATCTTTTTGGACTAGGTGACCAGCTGGGGAATCAGAGGCTAATGGTGTGGTAAGAGGAAGCAGAAGGGGTGGAAGCAAGTTTTCAGGGAAGAAAGGAAGGGGTTTGAAGAGTCACAGTCTTGGACAGCAGCCAACTTCTCCTGCAATCCTGACCCTGCTTGCTACAAACCAGCGCTTCAGCCCTTTCTGCTCCTCATAGCTCAGAGAAGGTGCAGTGTAGTAGGTCACTCATCTTTACTGCAGGCAGGAAGTGGAGGACGACAGAGGTGGTGGTGGCAGCACCATCTGCCCGGTCATTGTATTACCCATTGGTCATAACTCCCAAAGGAAAGACCTGCAGGAGCCAAACTCAGTCAGACCTACTGAAGAATCATGGTTAAGGCTATGCTTTAGTCATATACATGTCACGGGCAGTAAACAAAAATTCACGGCCCGTGACCTGTCTATGACTTTTACTATATACCCCTGACTAAAACTTGGGGTAGGAGTGGCTTGGGAGGGCGGCCCTGAGTGCGCCGCGGGTGCTGGGGGAGGGGGGAGGACGGCCCAGGGGGCACAGTGGATGCTGGGGAGGGGGTTGGCAGGGCTGGGGCAGGCTCCCTACCCAGCTCCTGGGAAGCGTCGACCCCAGCTCCTAGCTCAGGGGTGGGCAAACGTTTTGGCCCGAGGGCCACATCTGGCTGGGGAAATTGCATGCAGGGCTGGGGCAGGGGGTTGGGATGTGGGAGGGAGTGCAGTGTGTAAGAAGGAGCTCAGGGCAAGGGATTAGGGCAGAGGAGGGGTGCAGGGTGCATGAGGGGGCTCAGGGAAGCAGGTTGGGGTGCAGGAGGGGTGCGGCAGGGAGCTCAGGGCAGAGGGTTGGGATGCAGGAGGGGCGTGGGGTGTGGCAGGGGGCTCAGGGCCAGGAAGTGGGGTGCAGGAGGGGTGCAGGGTGTGGCAGGGGGCTCAGGGCAGGGGGTTGGGGTGCAGGAGAGGTGCAGAAAGGGGTTGGGATGCAGGCAGGGAGCTCAGGGCAGGGAGTTGGGGTGCGGGGTGCAGGAGGGATTTGGGCTCTAGCCTGGCGCTACTTACCTGGAGCAGCTACGGGGTGGCAGCGGCACGCACAGGTGCCAGGGCAGGCTCCCTCTCTGTCTGCCCTGGCCCCGCGCTGCTCCCGGAAGTGGCTGGCACCACATCCCTGCAGCCCCTGGGGGCAGGGGGGGGGGAAGAGGGCTCCACGCGCTGCACTTGCCTGTGGGTACCTCCCCCGAAGCTCCCACTGGCTCCCTGTTCCCAGCCAATGGGAGCTGCGGGGGGCAGTGCCTGCAGGCAAGGGCAGTGCACTGAGCCCTCTGCCCCGCCCCCACCAGGGGCCGCAGGGACATAGTGTTGGACATCCGGGAGCGGCGACACGGGGTGGCAATCCCGCGGGCTGGACCCAAAGCCCTGAGGGGCCGTATCCGGCCCGGGGGCCATAGTTTGCCCACCCCTGTGCTGCCTCCGCTCCGCCCCAAGCCACGGTTCTGCAGCTCCCATTAGCTGGGAACTGTGGCCAATGGGAGCTGCGGGTGCAGTGCCTGTGGGCGGAGGCAGCACGTGGAGCTAGGAGCTGAGGGAGGGGAGTTCATGTCACCCTTCTGGGGGCTCCCCCGGTAAGCACTGCCCCGCACCCCAGCCCCTCCCCCCCAAACTTCTGCTGCTGGGCGGCGTGGCGGCATGAGACTGCCCCAGAAGTGGCAGGTGCACCTGGCCCAGAGGCTGCCCAAGCTGCTCAGGTGGCCCCCGGGCCAGGCACACCAGCTGCTGCAGAAGTTATGGAGATCACGGAATCCGTGACTTCCATGACTGCTATGACAAACATAGAGCCTTAATCATGGTTGGTTCACCATGCCCAAGACCTGGTTGAAGATTGGGAGAATCTCAGGCAAGGGGAATGTGCTCAGAGAGTGGTCTGTGGAAATACCTCAATATCAAAACAAAAATGGGTATTTATTAAATTATTCTTACAATATAAATTAATTACAAAGTTATTTGCACTTTTCCTGAATATTAAGATACATCTACATGTATGTTGTAGCCAGGATGCTTGGTGAATAGGACAATGCATGTTATGTTTTTAGTTAGTTATGTTATGAGATGTTCAAGCTAATCAAAGGAATTCCAAGAGGCTTCTGCTTTCAGTTATCTTGGGGATATGTCCCCAAATGTCCAGGGAGATCTGACCATATTTATTACTCATAAGAGGGAATATACAAACTCAGAAAAGCTCCATTTTGAACTTTATTTTGCTTTAACTTTCTATGCCAATTTCTTTATACTAATTATTTGGATATAGATGTAAATATGGTTGTTGTGATGGGTGCTTTCTATAGAATATTTGATAGGAGATTTAATTCTAAAAATAGCAACTGGCAACACCATTTGGTCTAAAAGGCAACTAAATGAAAAGAGTGTCTTATCAAGACCATGGCACTTCTGCCTGGTATAAGATACCCGTTCAGTAGACATATAAATCCTTATCTCAAGAAAACAAACATTGTAAAGAAGATATTTTAGGAAAAACCTGGTCATGTAACACAATGTGAGGATGTTCTTTACTCAGGATATTTCACAGAGGAATGTAGGGATGTGTTCTCTAAGCATAAAGTGAACCCTTCCCTTCTCTTTTCGCAAAGAAAAGCCTTTAAGAAAAATGTATATAGTTGGAAATGTTATAAACCTTTTGTTTATTTCTTACATGTTGAAATGGCAAACATCTCTATGAAATGCATACTTGTAAATATGTTACCTAAATGCAAAGCTTCTAATATAATTTCCTAATATCATTGCTATGTCAAATGTTATATGTACCAGAATGGAATTTAGTACTATAAACTACTAAACTGATTAATAATACAAGAAGCTATTTAAAGTATAGAATATTTATATTGGTGAGGGATTACTTAATTATTTAACAGTACATAAGCAACTCCCTCACCCAACTCAGGAAGACAAAAAGAATCATCTCTCCAAAATTATTAAGAATCAACAATTTCTTTAATAACTATTTAAGCTACAAGCTCTCTTTAACATAAAGAACAGGAGAATTAGGACTTTTTGAGAACAGAATTTTATCTCCTGTTGAATTCTAATATAACTGAAGGAATATCTCAGAAAATAGACAGGATAAAAAGAAAATTAAAACTCTACAAGTTATCTGAGATTTTCCTGCCACAGAAGAATAAAGACAATTAGAAGCATATTAATTCTTCATTCATTGCATAGTCATTAAGCAGACTGCATATTTACAAGCTGCAGGTGTCACTAAAACCAGCCCTTGAAGGCATGGAGCCAGTGAAAGGACGACAAGACTTAGAGAGGTGTATTTTCCTATAATTTCACGACAATAGGAAGAAGAGTATAAAAACTCTGCAATGAACACCCTCAGCCTCTGCTACAACACATAACACCCATCAATTCATCCTGTCTATCTCTACAAACAAAGTGCTACAGATACATAAGAAGAACAAAGAAGCTGTCACCAGAGAAAGCTCATGAAAACCTATCCAAGGGCAACCTTCTGAAGAGTTCAATATAGATTGGTGACAGGAAGTTAACTGGAATGCTGTCAATAGATTAGATTAAAAAACTGGTTTTATTGTGATACTGAAATGCTTTTTGTTAACAGTTTCTCCTGTTATGTACCAAATGATTAGACCCTTTATTCCTGGAGAACATAGAATTCCTGGAGAGAATATCAATTATTGGTAAACAGAAAAGGTTGGGATTTAATTGGATTTAAGATTCTTAACATTCATTACTTGGCCTGTCTTAAAACAGCTCGTCAAATGACTTCTTCTAAATAATATCAATACTTTCTTTGAGTTCACAGGATTAAGTTAAGATTGAGCATAGTAAACAATTATAAACTGTTATTCCTGATAACCAACAGAACTCACCTATCCTGAAACAAAGTTCTTTGGCCCATTGTGAGAAAGAAAAGGAGCGAGATGGAGCGAGAGAGCTGCCCTGCAGGAGACTTGAAGAACCCAATATGAGGAAAAACCCAGTATGAGGAGACTTGAAGCCTGGAGCAGTCTTGCTAAATAACTCAACCAAAGAGACCTGGCACAGGAAGGAACCCCAAGCAGCTGATCCCCTATAAAAGAGCTGAAGCATTTCTTGGGGAGGAAGGATGGACAGATTGCAGCTTCTCAGAGTCAAATGGATAAGAGAGACCCTGGGAAGGAACCTTTTTCATTTGCCAAGGCTCTGAGGTAAGAGGCATGACCTGGGATAGATTTTTGGGATTCTGTAAGTGACTGGGGAAATTCTGTTTTTAAGTTTGTTTTTGGACACTTACCCCAAGAAAGGAGCCCAAATGGGCTGTGTGTTGATGAAACAAACTTTCATTAAAGTTTCTTGACTTCTTATTAAACTAAACTGCCAGCCCAGATCCTTGTGTGAGAAAAGGTGGTGGGGTTGGATGGAGAGGAGACAGGTCACCCCTTCATTGCCCTTCTATTCCCATTTATATTAGCAGTCCTGTTTTCTGGACTCTCAGTAATTTGGGAAAATAATACCTCTTATTAACTTAACAAGAGAAAAGCACCCCACGGGCAGTTCAGGACTACTAATCTTGAGGTTAGAGAGTTTGTTTGACTGCTTGTTTCTCTCTCTTTCAGGTTACTTAAAGTTACAGGATCAGTTGGGACTGTGTGTTTGGGGACTGCTTGAGCCTTTGTTCCCTGGATCATCCTTGATTAGCCTCAATCAGCCTTATGATCATCCTCCCCCTGTTTAATTAATGAGAGGATTGGTCTGATCTAGGAGAGAAGGCCTTAAAAGCCACAGGTTAAGTGATGAAGGGGAGCTAGGAAATGAGGGAGTCATAATATAATTGCTATGGTTTGGAAGAGTCACATTGCTAGTACCAATGCTGCTTCTGTCTCCTCCTGGCCTGCACAGAAGAATATGTATAACTACCTTTAAAAAAATCAAGCCTTATTAAACACAGTGGGGGTGAAAATGAAGGGTTTAAACAAACTGTACTGCTCATAAAATGCCCTCTGCATCTCCTCTCACTTGTCTGATTTATTTTCTGACACTACTTAAAATAAGGGGTTTTGTTTGTTTGTTTTTTACAGTGGTTTCTTCTTAGTACATTTTCCAGTGGATCAGAGACATCAATATATATATAACTTACTTGTCTTGACACTTATTGTAAGTAAGTCCATCCCCACCGCAGTTGCCACACCGGTCACCTTTAGTATTCACTGCTTTGAAACAACTCAATGGGGCCAGATGTGCTGCTGCAAGGGGAGGTGGGGGGAAGCACAAGGTAAATGACAAGACAGAAATAAAGCACACAATGTATTCTATTCATTCCTCCAATCATTTCAAGGAGTTAAGGGGAAACTGAAGTTATTCATCTGTAACCAGAGTTCTTTGGAATGAAGTCTGCATATTCACACTCATGGGAGGCACCCCTAGTGCAGATATGATGATGGAACCTTTAGGTAGCAGTGCTGGTTGGAACTCTCACATACTCTCCCACCCCTGCCCTCACTGTTCCTGAATTTTGTGAGGGCAAGGCTTAGGGTGACCAGATGTCCCGCTTTTATAGCGAGAGTCCCAAGTTTGGGGTCTTTTTCTTATATAGGCTCCTATTAGCCCCGCCCCCTGTCCTGATTTTCCACATTTGCTGTCTGGTCACCCTAGCAAGGCTATAACAGGGGGCATGGCACTTCACCCACCTCAGTGACTTCCACCACTTCCTCCCATTCTCAGGTTGTACTTAGGACTCTAAAGAAGAGGAAGGTTGAGTGTGGAGAGTGAATATACAGAGTACAACTTGAATTCTGGTTACAGGTTGATAACTTCCATTTCTTCTTCGAGTGTCCTCTGCATATTCCACCTTGTGGGACAGTTAGACAAGCAGTACTCCCTTTGGATGGAGATGGGTCCTATAACAGAGAGAGATTGAAGTACTGCCCTGCCAAATTGTGATCCAATCTGGATCCTAAATACAAAGAATAGGGTTTTGTAAAATGTTTGCAAAGAGTTCAAAGTTGCAACACTACAGATCTGTATAAAAGGAATATGTCTAAGGCATACCATTGAAGCTGCCTTGGTCCTAGTGGAATGTGACTGAATTCTATCCAGAATAGGGTCTGATGCTAAAGTGTAGGTCTCGTGAAAGTACAGCTTAACTAATTCTGAGCGTGTAGGAGACCTGAGGACTTGTTTCTTTTTATCAGGATAGAAATGAATAGATTACAGCACTATCTGAATCATTTAGCCCTATTGAAATAATAAGCTAAAGATCTTTGGGCACCTACAATAAGAAGCGTGTTTTATCCTGCACAGGCGTGGCCTTAGAAAAAAATACTAGTGAGTTAATTGACAGATAAAGTTAAAACTCAGTCACCACATTAGGGATGGAGATGTAGCTCTCCTCTATCCTTATGAAAAACAGTGACTGGTTGATCAACCATGACGGCCTGCAATTTACTCTCTTCTAGCAGATGTGATGGATTGGCTAAGCAAGAGACTTCAACCCCCATTAGCCCTTCACACTGTATTTCCTTTTTCTCTGGGCAGGAGAAAAGGTCCTGAACCAGGAGGGGCTGGGCTCTGTTTGTTTAAAAAGCAGCAGCCACATGACAAACCAGGAGCTGTATGCGGAGCCATGTGTGGAACAGGCTGTGACTGCTGAATGTTACAGCTGGGAGCAAGTGTGTATGGGACTTATGGGGCAGTGACAGGAAGCCAGAGCAGAGGGCCCCAATGAGAGAAACTGAGCATGGCTTGGAAACTAGCAAGAGCCTATTCACTTCAATAGGGACTGGACTGGAAAGGGCACCCCAGGCACTATCCTGAAGAACCCTGATTTTCAATAGGACTGCCCCACGGCCCAAAACAAGAACCCCCTATTATGAACCTTGAACTGTAACTCTTAAGCCTTTATACCTAGCATATTTGCAGACTTTTCCTTCCCTGCCAGCCCTAGCGCATTACCCTTTCACTTAACCATTGGGCTGAGTGATTATTGGGACCTATCAGGACTATCATCTACAAGGCTTAGCTGCTGAACCACCTACAGGACTTGCTTCAAAGTTGCTGTACACTAAGTATGCTGCTAGTACCTTAGGAATTTAGAGTACTTCAACACAGAGCAGCCCGCCGTAACTACACAGATGGTATGGCTATCTCACTTCCTGCAGAAAGGGAGTTTAGATTAGATATTAGGAAAAACTTTCCAACTATAAGGTTAGTTAAGCTATGGAATAGGCTTCTAAGTGAGGCTTTGGAATCCCCATTGGAGGTTTTTTTAGAACAGGTTGGACAAATACTTGTCAGGGATGGTCTAGGTTTATTTGGTCCTGACTCAGCACAGGGGGCTAGACTTCATGACCTCTCATGGTCCCTTCCAGCCCTACATTTCTATGATTCTATGATAAAGGCTGTTTTAACTGAGAGTTAAAATAAACACCATTCTGCTATTGGCTCAAATGGAAGCTTCATTAGCCACTGGAGGTTCCATGCTGGATAAGGGTCTTTAACGTGTAGGAAGATTTACTGAACCCTTTCATGAAGGTCTTAACTATGTTGTGTGTGAATACAGACTTGTTATCTATGAGAGAGTCGTATACCAATATAGCTGCTAGATGGACATTAATTGCTGATAAAAAAGGTCTAAAAGTTTCAGCTGTAGCAACAAGGAGTCTGGTGGCACCTTAAAGACTAACAGATATATTTGGGCATAAGCTTTCGTGGGTAAAAAACCTCACTTCTTCAGATGCATCTGAAAACTTATGGCCAAATATATCTGTTAGTCTTTAAGGTGCCACCGGACTCCTTGTTGTTTTTGTGGATACAGACTAACACGGCAACCCCCTGATACTTGTCAGCTGTAGCAGTTATTCTAAAATATGATGAACTGGAGCCATTGTTGTAGCTACATTACTACTCTTTATGTAGAGTCTGACTCTCTTCCATTTGAAGCTAGAACACTTAAGCTTGTGATCCACTATGATCCCCAGATCCCTTTCTTCAGTACCCCCTTCCTAGGCAGTCATTTCCTATTTTATATGTGTGCAATTGATTGATTGCTTCTTCCTAAGTGGAGTACTTTGCATTTGTCCTTATTGAATTTTCATCCTATTTCCTTCAGATCATTTCTCCAGTTTGTCCAGATCATTTTTAAATTTTAATCCCATCCAGCAAAGAATTTGCAACCCCTCCTAGCTTGATGTCATCCACAAACTTTGTAAGTGTACTCTTTATGCCATTATCTAAATAATTGATGAAGATATTGAACTGAATAGCACCCAGAACTGATCCCTGCGGGATCCCACTTGATATGCCCTTCCAGCTTGACTTTGAACCATTGATCATGTATACACAGAGACCTTATAGTAGTTCCATCTAGGTTGAATTTCCCTAGTTTGTTTATGAAAAGGCCATGCAAGACAGTATCAAAAGCCTTACTAAAGTCAAGATATACCACATCTACCACTCCCCCACAGCCAGAAGGCTTGTTACTCTGTCAAAGAAAGCTAATGTGTTGGGTTGGCTATTTGTTCTTGACAAATCCATGCTGACTATTACTTATCCCCTTATTATCTTCTAGATGTTTGCAAACTGATTGCCTGATTAATTGCTCTATTATCTTTCTGGAGACTGAAGTTAAGCTGATTGGTCTGTAATTCCCTGGGTTGTTGTTTTCCTTTCTATAGATGGGCACCATATTTGCCCTTTTCCAGTCCTCTGGAATCGCTCCCATCTTCCATGAGTTTTCAAAGATAATCGGTAATAGCTCAGACATCGCCTCTGTCTGCTCCTTGAGTACTCTAGGATGTTTTTCATCAGGCCCTGATGACTTGAAGATATCTAACTTGTCCAAGTAATTTTTAACTTCTTCCTTCCCTATTTTAGCCTCTCATACTACTTCATTTTCCCTGGTATTCACGATGTTGGACATCCAATCGCTACTAACCTTTCTGATGAAAACTGAATCAAAAAAGTCATTTAGCACTTCAACCATTTCCATATTTTCTGTTATTGTTTCCCCCTCCCTTCACTGAGTAACAGGCCTATCCTTTACTTGATCTTCCTCTTGCTTCTTATGTAGTGGTAGAATGTTTTCCTATCACCCTTTATGTCTCTAGCTAGTTTAGTCTCATTTTGTGTATTGGCCTTTCTAATATTTCCCTACATACTTGTGTTCTTTGTTTATATTCATCCTTTGTAATTTGATATAGTTTCCACTTTTAGCAGGATTCTTTTTTTTTGAGTTTCAGATAATTGAAGATAGCCTGGTTGAGCCAGGGTCAAAGAATTGAGTTTCTTTGGGTCTATTATAAGACAGAGATCTCAGTCCTTCTTTGGGATTAGAAAGTACCTGGAATAAAATGTTTTAACACTGGACTCCCCTGTACTATGACCAAGGCACCCATATCTCACAGGTGCTCCCTTTCTGGTTGGGTGTATGCCTGCTTTTCTTTCAGTTCTTACAATGGGGCTGCATTTGCTTCTCATGAGTGCCTCCCCGGCTGATGGTTCTTGGGCGGGTCTTCAGTGACTCAGCCCTTCAGTCAGACACAGTCCCCCATTCTGGGTTATACAATCACCAGTTCTTTTTCACGGCCCTGGTATGTGGACATAGAACCAAGGTTTCCTCTCCAGAGGTACTGCCTTCTTTAAGAGCCCAACAGGGGCCCATCTCAGTACCTTCCATTGATGTCCTTTCGGCAGCCCTCCCTGGGCTCAGTCTTCAACCAGAACAGCAGGGCCCATCACAGCCCTCCCCCAGTCTGGCTAGATTCTGGGTTCAGTGCCCTGGGGTCAGCCTGCCTGCACTGACCTGTCCATGGTTCTATTGCTCTTCCAGGCACCCAGTCCTCCCTCTTTGACCTACAGAAGGAACTGGCAGCTCTGCCTCTGCTGCTTCCATTTATATAGCACTTCTGGCCCCTGATTGGTCACTCCAGCAGCTCCTCTGATTGGCTGACTGGAGGACTTCTCTGCTCTTTTCTGGGGAAGGAAGAGGCAGGGCCACAAGGCCTCCAGCAGGGGGCCTCCAGATCTAGTCCACCCTATCACACCAAAGTAGATATTGAGAATGACTACATTCTTCCTGCGTATCTCAGCCCTCTTTCCTCTTTAAAATGCTTCCCATCTCATTAGCTCTCACTTAGCACCTTCTGTAGCCAAAGAAGACACTCATATCACTTAAGAAGATATCTACCCCAACTTTCCAAACCACCTGTTCCCAAAGTCAGCTGTCTTGTGTGCTAGGAGCCAGTCCAAACCTCTTCTATTGCTTCCTGAGTTGAGGAAGCATGTAGACTCCACCAACAGGGGAAGTAGGGCACAGTGAGACTGTTTAGCTATTTCAGTGATTGGTGTTATAGAATAACAATCCTTATCTGTAGGCATGATATGCAAAATCCACTGATTAGACGGGGAAGCTCAGGGAGAAGGACAGATTCCTAGCAGATGTGAGGCAGGATCAACCAAGACTGCAGCCACTCTCAGCAGGCACACAAACTCTCTCTCCTTTGTGCAGAGCCCCCTGGCCAAAGAAGTCTGTTTGCCCTCTTGGGATTAGGTATTATTTAAGAACTGGCCAATTTCGTAAGAGTTAATTGATGTGGCTATGTGTTTTTCTAAATAATTATGCAGGTCTTGCCTTTGCCAAATACAGCTTTGCACTGTCTCTCGTGGTTACGGCATCTCCCTTGGAAACAACAGTCATTGTCACCGCATGGAGTTCCATCTTGCTTAAATACATCCTCTGGGCACCAGTCTGAAGTCCCATTGCAGTACTCAGGAAGGTCACACTCACCAATACTTTCTCTGCATATTTTCCCTTGTCTATGAAACTGTTACAAATAAGAATACAAGGATCTGGATGTGATTTCTCTCTGGAGGCCTACTTCATGAGCCACCATTTACCTTCTTAAAATATGTTTGTTTTAGAAGTCCCCAAACATCTAACAGGTAAGAAAAAAACCACCTGCAGTTTCTTTGCCATTTATTTTAACACAGATAAGATAAGAGAAAGATGCAACATAAATACTCCTTTTGCTGTTTATTAAGGAGTGCACTCTAATTCCAATATTTAAAATGCGTGATTCTTTTCCACTCCCAAATGACGATCAACTTTTCATGCTTGTAATCAATAACAATGAAGAAAGAAAAAATAGTTTTTGCCCATCTACTCATTTTTTTCCATGTTGAGTCTGCTGAGACTAGAGCTGGGGACACTTCACCCACAGTATTCAGAAGCTGGATCTGTCAGTCACTGGGGAGAGTGGGATGGGACCCACCTATCTATATCCTCTCCAGAATGAGCACTTAGTACAAGTGGTATTACTGTAGCACTTAGGAGCCGTAGTCAAGGAAGCAGACCCCATTTTGCTTGGTGCTGTACAAACACAGAACAAGACAGTCCTGCCCCAAAGAGCCAGAACCCAAGTATAAGACAAGGGACAAATGATGGATACAGATAGATGTGGGAGCATACAAGGAAACAGTTTGACAGTATTGGACAGCTAGCTAGGCAGTGGTATCAGCTCACCAGCGGCCTAACTACTGTCAATTTTTGGTAGGCATTAAGGAAAAGGAGAGTTTTGAGATGGGTTTTGGAGGGTAATTGCTTAGTTTTAATCAATGTTTATGGAGAGCTCCTCCCAAACATGCGGGGCAGCATGGGAGAAAGCATGAAAGTCCTTGTTTGAAAATTTAACAAGTGAGTAATGGAGGCTGGCATCATGGGTAGATTGGAGTTGAGCGTTGAGCGCTCAATAGCAAACAAGAGATGATATGGTGGGGATTGGCCATGAAGGGCCTTGAAGGTAAAGACAATTAGGTGAAGACAAATGTGATAGAGAAGAGGGAGTCAGTGGAGGGAAGCAAAGAGGCAGGTGACATGATCAAAGTGACAGACTAGGAAAACGAAATTTGCAGCAGCACTCTGAAAGAATATGAGTGGGCAAAGATTGCATTTGTCAAGACCAGAGAAAAGGATGTTGCAGTAATCAAATTGAGATGATGGAAACAAGGATGAGTTTTAGGTATGTGATTGGAAAAGAAAGGCCATATCTTAGATATGTTATACAGAAAGAATTGGCAAGGTTTACAAACTGCCTAGATTTGAGGTCCTAGACAGAGGTCTAAGCCAAAGATGGCACCCAGGTTACAGGCCTAAGGGACAGACATGATAGTATTGTCCAGTGATCAAGAAAGGAGGTAGTGGGGAGGGTGTGGAGGGGCTGGAGAGAAACAGCTGAAGAGTTCTGTTGTAGCTATGTTGAGCTTGAGCTGATGGCTGGACACCCACAAGGAGAAATCAGAGACAGAGGCTGAGATTTCTGTTTTCAGAAAGAAAGACAGGTCTGGGGTAGCAAAGTAGATCTGTAAGAATGTGTTTTGTTTTATCTGTGACCTGAAAGTAGAGTCTGGATGCATCCTCCTATGTTGATTCTAGAGGATTCCATGAATCTTTGAGTAAATGCAGCCTTGTGGCAAATATTTCTGAATAACTGGGCACTGGGGGGAAAAGGCCTATCCGTGTGCCCAACACTACATATCTATCAGAAATATCATTTGGAATGTTTCCCCAGTTTTCCTGAGCAACTGGGGTGGAAGGATCAGGTGGTGTGATGAAGCTGGATTGCTCTGAGAGGGCTCCTACTCATGAAAACAGAAGTAAAGGTCTGAAAGGATGGTAGAGAAAGATTTTCTCCAGTCCCAGGGAGCTTCTCTGCTGAGTCCCGTATTTCCTGACCAGTTAAGATACTGATCTATAGGGTGAGCTGAATGGAAGCACTTTCTGCTACTGTACTGGATCCTGTGGCAGCAGATATCACATTTATTGCATCAGTGATAGCACAAGAACTCTCTGCTATTGACATAGGCTTTTCTAGAGTCTAGAGGAGGTGACTTTATCCTTTATTGCAGAACCCTTAGTTGGGAGCCTGGCTGTCAACTATGTCTTCTCCAGTTGATCTGAGGAATCTGAGAGATCTCCAGAGGGAGCAGAAGAACTTCTTTCCATCTAAATAAGGATGCCTTGTACTGGGAGATGGAGACTTGGCTCTCCTTTTCTTCTCAGGCTCAGATGACTCTGGAAATAAAGGTGGTCCAGGCTATGGCAGGAAGCCAAGAATGACCATGAAGGAAGAGAAGGACAATAGAGAGAAATTGGAAGTCCATGTAGGAAGATAATATTGGGGGAAATATCAATTTGGGGATGTTTTGAAGTCACATAGGGTACGTCTACACAGCATTTGGGAGCGAGCTTCCCAGCCAAGGTCCACAGACTTGTGCTAGCAGAGCTTGTGCTAGTGCACTATTTTTAGCTGTGTAGACGGTGCTTTGACATTTTGACTCAGGCTGGAACTTGTGCTCTCAAGCCCACTCCACCCACCCTAGGTTTGGAGTCTGAGCTCCAGCCCAAGACGCAATATCAAAGCACTGTCTACACAGTACGCTAGAGCACACACTGCTAGCACAAGTCTGATGACCTAGGCTGGGAGGCTCACTCCCAAAAGCTGAGTAGACATTCCGATAGGGCTTGGTAACATGCACTGCCAATGGAGGCAGAACATTCTGGAGAGGATGTTGATGGGCAGGTCCTTTCACCCTCTCACCAGTCTGTCACTGACAGGTTTAGCTGCTATCTTAGGTGGGTGCCATAACTGCCAGGTTATAGAATCATTCTCAAGCTTTCCCTGGCCCAATGATTATTCAGTCATGCATAATGATAATGGATAGTTATTGGGCCTAGGAAGGAAAGTGAGAATGATTCTCTAGGCTGGTAGTTTGGGCATTTACCTAGGATATAGGGGACCCAAGTTCAAGTCCCTACTCCAATGACTACTTAATTATTTATTAAAAATGGAACAGCTTCAACAGGTGACATTGAGATACACTGACACCCCATATCCCAGTGGCTAGGGCACTCTCCTGTAATATAGGAAACCCAAGTTTAAGTCCCTTCTCCACATCAGCCAAAGGGGGGGAATTGTATATCAGCTTCCCACATCCCAGGAGAGGATCCTAGCCATTGGGCTAATAGTTATAAGGGAGCCCTATCCCCAGAATTTTGCAAATTTTTCCTCTTTTGCTTTTGTCAAAATGCCTAAAGTCAAAACAAAAACATTTGATTTGAACATCATTGAAACATTTCGATATTTTGGTTTGGTCAAAATCATTCAGTGAACTCTACATGAAGTAGCGAATAGTTTTGGGTTAGGCAACTATTTGCTAAAAACAAGTTGCCCAGCTCTAATCCCAACACATCTACATGGGATTAGCAAATCTAGTACTTGAGAAGGAAACTGTGAAAATGAATAGCATTGCCACTGGTGTTAACTTTAAAAGAAAGTAATTAAACATTCAGTTTACCATTAAATACAAAACCTACTATATGTTTTTCTTACCTGACAGTTTTTGCAGCAAAGTCCAGAAATACAGGCAGCACCTGGCTTTATTGTACAATTGGATAGGCAACAACCACTCCGTAGGCACACCTTCAAGTACAAAATGAATGGCACCTCACCTTAAAAATCTGTTGTGGGACTCTCCTGTAATAACACCACTCTTACCATTTATTGTTTGATTTCAAAGGGTAACAAAACTCAGTGAATTTGAGAGACAAACTCCCATTTCTCAAAATATGCCCTGTTTTGGCCAGGGCAGTCCCTTTTCTAACCCCTGTCCCAGCTGACTCAACCTTTTTGGCAAAAGTGGGCATTTTTCCCATTTGCTCTTGCCAACAAACGGGACAAATGCCCTCTTTTGTCAAAAAAAAGTGGGGTGCAGAGGAATGTGCAGGAGTGGGTAAGTGGTGATGCCAGCCTCACACAGGGGAGGAGGCAGAGCTCGAGCGAGCAACAATGCTAGCTCCAGCCATAGACTCATGCAGGGGGGCAGGCAGGGCCCAGATGAGCGTTTGGGGTCAGCTCAGTGTGGGGAGGGTGGAGGAGGCGGCTCAGGATAGCCCGACATGGTGTCCCGTTTTCCCTTTGGGAAATATGGTCAACCTAACCATAGTTCTAATTACACAGCATTTTTATAAAGTATTATTCTTATTATTTGCTATTTCTGCTACACAAAGACTCCAAAGAGAATGCTACCAACAGAGGAAGGATGGTCCAGCAGCCTGGGACAAAGGACACTGGGTTCAATTCCCTGCTCTGCTAGAGCTTGGACAAGTCACTAAGTTTTTCTCTTCCTCAGTCCCCTATCTGTAAAAATGGGGCAATAGAGAAATACTATCTCACAGGTGTGTTTGAGTATAAATACATTAAATGGGATAAAAGGGAAGGTCCATTCATGGATTGAGAACTGGTTAAAAGACCGGGAACAAAGGGTAGGAATTAATGGTAAATTCTCAGAATGGAGAGGGGTAACTAGTGGTGTTCCCCAAGGGTCAGTCCTCGGACCAATCCTATTCAACTTATTTATAAATGATCTGGAGAAAGGGGTAAACAGTGAGGTGGCAAAGTTTGCAGATGATACTAAACTGCTCAAGATAGTTAAGACCAAAGCAGACTGTGATGAACTTCAAAAAGATCTCACAAAACTAAGTGATTGGGCAACAAAATGGCAAATGAAATTTAATGTGGATAAATGTAAAGTAATGCACATTGGGAAAAATAACCCCAACTATACATGCAATATGATGGGGGCTAATTTAGCTACAACAAGTCAGGAAAAAGATCTTGGAGTCATCGTGGATAGTTCTCTGAAGATGTCCGTGCAGTGTGCAGAGGCGGTCAAAAAAGCAAACAGGATGTTAGGGATCATTAAAAAGGGGATAGAGAATAAGACGGAGAATATATTATTGCCCTTATATAAATCAATGGTACGCCCACATCTCGAATACTGCGTACAGACGTGGTCTCATCTAAAAAAAGATATACTGGCACTAGAAAAGGTTCAGAAAAGGGCAACTAAAATGATTAGGGGTTTGGAACAGGTCCCATATGAGGAGAGATTAAAGAGGCTAGGACTCTTCAGCCTGGAAAAGAGGAGACTAAGGGGGGATATGATAGAGGTATATAAAATCATGAGTGATGTGGAGAAAGTGGATAAGGAAAAGTTATTTACTTATTCCCATAATACAAGAACTAGGGGTCATCAAATGAAATTAATGGGCAGCAGGTTTAAAACAAATACAAGGAAGTTCTTCTTCACGCAGCGCACAGTCAACTTGTGGAACTCCTTACCTGAGGAGGTTGTGAAGGCTAGGACTATAACAGCATTTAAAAGAGAACTGGATAAATTCATGGTAGTTAAGTCCATTAATGGCTATTAGCCAGGATGGGTAAGGAATGGTGTCCCTAGCCTCTCTTTGTCAGAGGATGGAGATGGATGGCAGGAGAGAGATCACTTGATCATTGCCTGTTGGTCCACTCCCTCTGGGGCACCTGGCATTGGCCACTGTCGATAGACAGGATACTGGGCTAGATGGACCTTTGGTCTGACCCGGTACGGCCGTTCTTATGTTCTTATGTTTAAAAAGATGGAGAGGTGCTGGTCATTACAGTGACGTGGGTCACATAAGTACCACAGATATATGTGATATTTCTAATGATTTTAAGATATGTGAAAACAAAATTAAATAGTTTTATTTTAATATAAACTTTTAAACCTAGTTTCACCAATACACTAGAGTAGCACAAAAAAACCAAAGTGTACTTGTGATTCTGACACAACACTGAATTTGTAATTGACTTACTGGCTTGCAGGGTTATGTTAGTGAGACTGGTACTATGTGATATTAGGTGTGGGGATAGCATAGTCCCAATGTCTCCATGGTTTAAGGGCACCCCCTGTGCTTCTGCCTTAGTTCTCCTGGCTGTGTTGCCAAAATGGGAGTGGTGCCAAGGCAACCTTTTAAGGTGGGGAGCCTTTTAAGCACTGCTGTCCAAGCTAGTATGCAGCCACATAATGTTTAAAGAGCCGTGAAATTGGCCAAGAAAGCTACATGTGTACAGTCACTCCTCATACCAGAGTCATTATAACCAATAGAACGGTGGCATGCAAGTTAGCTGCAGACAATGGGTGGTGCTTGGTTGAGTTACCACTGATGTCACACTGACCCCAGTGAAGTTACCCAAGCTGTGGAACCCCGGGAGGGGTTGGTCAAGGTGACAGTTGGAAAGTGGATCTTGAAAGAGGGAGATCTAGTAATTGTGACAGGACAGTCACAGGCTAGACTTGCCTGGAGAATGGGCTAAGTGAGGAAACGTTAGTAGAGTTCTGAGAAGGGAACCTGAAGAGGCTGAAGAAAGCTGAGCTTGATGTCCCTAGCTCCAGAAGCTTCCCACGTAAGTAGATCATGGTGTATGATGGTGTAAGACCTTGTCTACACTAAAAAGTTGGGTTGATCCAGCTAAGTCACTCAAGTGTGTGAAAAATCCACACCCCTGTGTGACATATTTAAGCTGAAATCATTCCTGGTGTAAACAACACCATGGTGTAGACAGAACTGCAGTGCTGCAGATGTGGCACTCTTGCATTTCAAGTACAGAGAAGCCTTAAGTGAGTTAGGCTTTGAAGTGATGCTGTATAATAATTACCACAAACAAGAGCGTATCTCTTGGTTTTCCAGTTCCCAGGAAGAAAAGACTAAACCCTTTTAACTCTAAGTCTAAAAGAACCAAGAAGAGAATAGTACCAGATAGAGAGGATATATGTCAGCTGTTCACGAAAGGGGAAATAAGTCCTAAAGAAAGTGAAGGTTTATAAATTGTCACAATGACCTGTTATATGAAATTGTTTAAGAAAAGATGTAAGATGGAGACAGAGTGAATTAAATTAAACAAAGAGGGTTTTACTGATACCACTGACCAACGAAGGCCACAGAAAGAAACCCAGAAGGGCACTGCCACCTCCACATGCTCTGCTGAACCCCAGCTCGGATGTGATACTTCATCTTTCTCCACTCCCACCCCTAATCTTCCCCAGCTTGCCCTCTTCCTTTCCCACCTTGTTTCTTCTCTTTTCCATTGCTCTTCTTTTTCCTTCTGTTTAATAACAGCCTGGCTTAGCTGGCCAAGACTGTATATTTTGCAACATGGCTGTAAGCCTGTGAGCAGAAAGGCAGCTAAAAACAATGCCCTAAACAGCCCAATGTTGGTACACGTTTGTCAGGTCTCAGAGTGGCTGATAAGCCCATGTGCTGTGCCTGTATTTCTCCCATAATAAGGTTGTAAGTAAGGGTCAGCACCAGAAATAGAAGTTGCATTTTCTATCTTTGCTGTTCTTTTCTATCTTGTTTTGTGTGATTGTCTTGGTTTGTCAGGATCGGACTTCAAGAAAAAATGCTAAAACAACAGTTCCAGCCCATTTCAACTGACCTTCCTCTTTGACACCATCTAAAGAATAGTTATTACCATCTTTGACACCTCTAAAACACTGCCAAATGAGGTTTTTTTTCCTTCTAAAATCTCTGTCCAGTTAAGGAAAAAGAATAAGGGATATTGTTAAAATAAAAGCCTTTTTTAAGACCTTACATTTCAAATGCTTGAACTGTTTTTCCTTTTCTTCTGCATCTTTAATAATAGGTCAAATGGATTTGGGGTGCTTGCCATGATACTAAGTAGGTTGTGGTGTCTGTATACCAAACCTTGTTTAACACTGGTTAATGTTGGACAGTGACTGGGTTATGTTAACAACTTTGACTCTTTGGACTCATATATTCCATCTAAATTAGCACAACACATCTATTATGGGGGTGCTGGCACTGATGTCATAATTTAGGTTGAGTTCCACTTTGCACTTAAAGCCAGAATTCAACCTCTTTGCTATGGTATCCAGAGTAGTTATAAGGAGCTGGACATGGATTGTAAAATGAGTGTGTGAACAATATCTCAGTCAGAAACAGAAAGATTTCTGGGTGGACAAGCATATCACAAGGCAATCCTGAAGTACCATGGTTTGCTGAAATTAGGGGCAGTATAGTTTGGTTCAGAGAAACCAGATCAGCAGGCAGGGGAACAAGATTCAAGAGCCCATCAGGTTCACAATTGCAGAGTGGATTCCCTTTGGCTGAGTCCAGCAGCAAGTTCTACAGGCCTTACTCTTGTCAACCCGTCCTCTGGTAACCACTCCACTCTGACAATGTAACTGTGCTGGTTGATCACATTCACTGATGGAGACTCTTGGGTGAAGAGTTTCACTCATGATATAAGGGACCTTCTCAGATCAGGATTGACTTTCATTGAGAGGGCCAGTGCCCTATGTTCAGAATAATAGTCGTTTGCATCAGAAGAGAGGGTTACTTACCTTGTGCAGTTATTGAGGTTCTTTGAGATGTGTGTCCCTGGAGGTGCTCCACTTCAATGGCGCTGGAATGCACTGACATCTGATCAGAGATTTACGGTAGCAGTATCCACGGGGGTCGCGCGTGCGCAGTAGGCGTCTTGCAGTGCCATTGGAGCTGTATCTAGCGCATGCACAACCTGAACCCTGCAGTTCCTTCTCTACCGCAGAATCCTTACTGCAAACTCCAAAGTAGAGA